CCATTTTTGTTAGAAATTACAGTTTGTTCTGATTTATGTTATGACATACAAATGTCACCACTGACAAAATAACGATATTTGCGAAGCAGGCTAACTTTTAGTGGCGAGATATTTTTAATAGTGTTTTTCTCGATAACAGCTGGGTCCATGACTTTGTAACAAGAGCTTTTTTTTTAATTCTATAGATAATTTACCAATTGTTTTTGCTATCGTCGTAGGTGTAATTTGACGCCTGCGAAGTATCGTAAAGTTAATTTTTATTACCGCAAAATGTTAGTCGCAGGCTTCACACCCTGTCTATCCTAAGGTGAAACTTCAATGATGGCAATGCGTGCTATTGAAAATTATATAAAACGAAACGTCCTTGAAGCACCAACGGTTAAAATCTCGTTTTCGTGCAATTTTTCAAGCCTTATGGCACCAAAGTAGATTTTAAAATTGTCGCTTTTCTATTGTAGTTAAACTCATTAATGGTGCCCTGAGGCACTTAATATTTTAGTTAAAAAATGCGACACTCTGCGAATAGAAATATTAATGATGATTGGTTACGGTGATATGCGCAGAGTTGCAAACATTTTTAATGAATAACACCCAGATTTACCACCACTTTCTGTGGCAACTGTGTCTAAAATACATAGACAATTTCGTGAATATGGAGACGTTAAACAATTAGGCCTCATTTTTTTAATGAAAATGTTTTATTATCTTTTCAAGAAGATTCAACAGTTTTGAGATGTGTAAAATCCGAAAAAATGCATCAATGCATCAATATAAACTACAAGACGTACAAGAACAATTATTGATTGACGGTAATTCTGATAGAAGATTGCTATTTTGCGAGCAAATGCCGGATATGTTAAACAGAAATGTTATTTCTTCTGCAGATATTCTTTTTTCTGATGAATCAACATTTGTTCTAAATGGCGAGGTAAATAGGGCGGGTATTGTTGGTGAACATGTGGTGGGACCTATTTACATTGAAAATCTTAACGGGACTATATCTGGAAATTCTAAGACTTTAGCAGAGTTGTTTCCAAATCCATTGAACCTAATCTTCCCAACAAGACGGTGCACTACCCCACTATGGTCTTCCTGTATTCCGTATACGGAATTATTTAAGTGACACTTTTCCACACAGATGGAAGAAGAGGTTTTATAGAATGGCCAGCAAGATCACCAGATTTAACACCTCCAGACTTTTTCCTGTTTAAAACACAACCTGCAACCTGCAATTTAGATGAATTATCGTCCAATCTTTCAATTCTTTCTTCCTAATAGAGCGTCATCATCATAAACTTCATTCTTAGTTTAACGACCATTGTTAAAAATAATAGGTTATTCTAATGGTTACTAATTAAAGCAACCATCAAACACTATATAGATATTAGAAATAAACGTCTTAACGTTAACGTCACACTTAATTTCCCTGTTAAAATGCAGTACTGCACAGTGTTTATAGGTTTCAATTTCAAGTCGGCAAAGTTATAACTTGCAATAAAATTTAGAAAATGTTGATGCTGCCTTAAGTAAAATCACTCGACGTAATTAAACCGCATTTTCTTGCAAGAAAAAAACGTATTTTTTGAATAGCTACTACATGTAAATTTAGGATTTAATGTTATATCCGTTTCGTAAACTACTCATGATTAGCCGCGGTGATTAGACTTATTGAAGTAAGGTGTAAAAATTATTCTTTCACATCTTAAGCAGATGCTTTATTAAAAATTCAGCATTGTTGAAATAATTAACCCAGTTTTAAATGGAGGCTTTTCTAAGCTAAGCTAAGTTATTTGTGCTACACCATATTGTTTTCTACAATACCAAGACATTCTGTCGCATAACAATTAAATGTTTAAAGCAATTATACACGGAAAAAAGTAAATTATACTAATTAAATATTGATGTTTAATAGGTAATAATAATATCACTAATTACTACTATTTAAATTAATAATATCTTTGTTCTGACATTTACTTTATAATAATTATTAATTGAATGATCAAATTTATAGTTTATTTGTAAAAAAGTAGTATTACATATTGTAAAAATTACGATTTACTCGTTAAAAATGTAGGATTGAAGGATTGTAATAATTGATATATAAGTAAAACTTTAATGTTTATACTTTTGTAGGTAAAAATTTGTAGTCGAAAAGATAAAAAATGGAAAAGCAAAACACAAAATTTATAATTCAAAATAAAAAAATTTAATGTCTTTTCTGTCGCATAACAATTAAATGTTTAAAGCAATTATATATAACTCAGTATACTGAGTATAACATAAATGCAATTCTTTGATCGGCGCGCGGAGATTTTTGTCGACTATTTTTGCGACGTTGCCAAATTAACAACAAAAATCACAGAATTAGGGATTTTTGCGATATCAAGATTCCTAAAATTCACAGAATTTTCAAAAATCTGGACATCTTCGGCAAATCATTTTGCACTATTTAGCGATGTTGCCGAATTCCGGAGAGAAATAGATATAATAGATAAAATAAACAAATTTTGATTTAAAGTAGTTTAATATCTTTTATTTATACTGCTGGTATAAGGTCAGGTGTTGCATATTATATGTTAAGTTCTCATACATAACAAAAACTGGATTGTGTTTTAACATTTACATGCATTTTAACGGTTTTTGTAATTTGGTTATTTCACAAATTAATGGATTTTTAGTAACCATTCCCAAAACAGTTAACAGTTAACCTTATTTATAAAATGAAAATATTTTGTTTTCCTTTTCGTACAAAAAACATTTCGTCTTATAAATAGACATGTTAATTATAATTAACAAGTAAATATGTCAATAATGATTTTAAGGAAGTGTTAATTACGTTAATTACACACAATAAGAAAATTAGGCAATTAAGTGTTCGGATATTTTTTTAAATGGTAATTGTCTAGGTAACATTTTTGGGATAATTTGGTTGATAAATGATAAATTAGACAGGCACAAAAATTAAAGTGGATAATTTCTCAACAAAAAATGTTTAATTCGATAAAATTAACACAATTTTTTTTATGCACAAGCATATAAAATTTAAATATTCTTATTAGACAAATTTTGACAAATACTATTATGCAAAAGTATACTTTACTTATAAGTAAGATTAGAGATTTTCGGATTTGAAAGGTTTTTAGTTTTTTTAAATATTTTAAGAACCGCTTGTTTTTTTATGGAGAACATGAATTATTCTTATTATTATTATTTTAATTATTTTTAAGGTATTTTGTTTTTTCTATTGAATATTTTTTTTACATTTTATACATAGACATACAAATTTATTTTTGTATTTTTTTATGAATTATGTATTTCAACAAAAATTATTTCACCACATGAATCTTGTTGCTGTTAAAATGTCAAAATATTGCAATATAACACATGTGTTTTGTTTTATTGTTTTGGATGCTTCTTTATATATTTTTAGATTTTTTTTAGAATATTAAAAAGAAAAAAATATTTTTAGTTTTAGAATTTAAATTGTTTAAATGTTTTGTTTAAGGTAATTTAGAATTTTTAGATAAACAGTCTATCATATTAAAATTAAAAAAATATATTAATTATTTTTATTATTTAAGAAAAAAATAACACTACCACCAGTACAAAAAACTGCCCTACCTTAATCTCCAAAAAATGTTTAATTCTATAAAATTAAACACATTTATGCATAAGCATATTAAAATTAACATATTCCTATTAGTTAAATTTTGACAAAGCATTTAATGCTATTATACAAAAGTAAGTAAGTTTAGAGATTTTCGGTTTTGGAAGATTATTTTCAGTTTTTTTTAAATATTTTTAGATCCGCTTGTTTTTTTTCTGGAGAACATGAAAGTTAATTATTCTTATTATTATTATTTTAATTATTTTAAAGGTATCTTGTTTTTTATAGAATATTTCTTTTACATTTTATACAAGAAAAAAAATATTATTGTATTTTTTTATGAATAATGTATTTCAACAAAAATTATTTCACCACATGAATGTTGGTGTTACAATGTCAACATATTGTGTTTTGTTTAATTTTTTGATTTTTTTATATATTTTTAGATTTTTTTAGAATATTAAAAAGAAAAAAATCCTAATATTTTTTCCATATTTTAGATTTAGAATTTTAATCTTTTAAATGTTTTTTAAGGTAATTTAGAATTTTTTAGATAAACAGTCCATTATACAGTGTGACCCATTTGTTTTGCGACTCAACCCCGTAAAATCTTTATTTATTGTGCGATTTTAACCGGATTTGTTTTAAAGTGTAGATCTTGATAAACTTTATTTTTGAAGCTAAATATGCCATATTAGAACAAAATACAAGGCCTACTATGTCAGTTTTTAAGAGTAAATTTTTAAGAATTTATATTAGCGATTTTTTTAAACAAAATCTAAGCACGGCACTGGATTCACAACCCCGTAAAACAACCCTTTACTAAATTTTATTGAAAAATTTTAAGTAGAAAAATGCACAATAACTACAAAAAATTTTTCTGTCAAGTTAAAAAAAAACATTGAAATAAAATTAAACTTATAGTAACATGGTACTACTATTAATTTAATTTTATTTCAATGTTTTTTTTCATGGATAACTTGACAAAATAATTTTTTTTAGTTATTATTGTGCATTTTTCTATTTAAAATTTTTCAATCAAATTTAGTAAAGGGTCGTTTTAAGGGGTGGTGAATGCAGTGCCGTGCTTAGATTATGTTTAAAAAATCGCTAAATGAATTCTTAAAAATTTACTCTTAAAAACTGACATCGTAGGCCTTGTATTTTGTAAAAATATGGCGTTTTTTGCTTACAAAAATACAGTTTAAAACAAATCCGGTCAAAAACTCACAATAAATAAAGATTTTACAGGGATGAGTCGCAAACAAATGGGTCACACTGTATATATATATATATATATATATATATATATAAAATTAAAAAAATATATTATTTATTTTAAAACAAATAATTTTAAATAACACTACCACCAGTACATAAAACACTGCCCTACCTTAATGTCCACAAAATCCTCACTCAAAATCAAAACCTCAAAAAAAACCACAGCGTTCAAAAAAGAATCAGGAAATAAAACAAGAGCAGAAAAAACTCGAAGGCGCGAAGCAAGCTCTGCTTTCAGTCGACCGTCCGCGAATCTCTGAAACAACTGAAGGCGAAGAGACGGCCTTGCGCGACCTTGCACTATTACCACCGCCGATGGTCACTTGTCGAAGCGCCGAAGACTAGATTCTCTATGCTGTGGAAAAGAGGTAACAGTAAAAATTTGACGCGTTACTGCGGCCTACGCTGATTTGAAAAGGATACTGTATGGAGATAAGAGCGCCATTTCATCTTATACCGATATCAACCAACTGAGGTGGGGAGCTATTGTTTAAAAATCCCATTTAGTTTACTTCTTTCTGGTGTTTCTATCTTTCACCATGTCAATGTTATGTTTAGGAAATTTTTGTACTTTCCATCACCATTTAGATTTTTTTTATGTAAAATGGCTATTTTTGCTTGTACACACTGTCAGAAAATCAGATTTGTTAAAATGAGTTTGTAGTTTGTTAATTTTATTTTTCGTTGAAAAAGTACTTGTGATTTCAGGCAGTCAATCAAAACATTTCCCACTGACAATACGCATCAAGCTCAACTGACTTCAGCGTCTGCAACTTATGATTCTGCTTACTTTATTCTAATTCGTAACGTATTCCTAACAACTCTCCAGAGTGTTTATAATACATAACCAGAAATCTGTTATTATTGTTATTCGGATATCTTATACCTATCTCAGTTATTAGACATGGGACCCACATTAAATTTATATGAGTTTACAATGACATTATATAGACAAGTTCTATGCAATCAGAATTTAAATTGAAGTTTGCGAATAAAAGTTAGTTTTTAAGTGTGCCCCCCAGCCTCCTGCCCCCCCCCAAATTAAGATAATTTAAATTAAATTTGTACAATATTTAATTCACTGAAGTTTATCGACAAATCTCAAATTTTATTAAAAAATTTCAAGAATTGCAGGTTTTATACCATTTTAAATTTTTATTATTTCTTTTACAAAATTAAAAAAAAATAGAAATGGTATAAAATCTGTACTAATAGGTACTTGAATTTTTTTAATAAAATTTGAAATTTGTCGATAAACTTCAGTGAATTAAATATTGTACCACTTTAATTTAAATTATCTTAATTTGGGGGGCAGAAGGCTGGGGGAACACTTAAAAATTAACTTTTTTTCCCAAATTTCAATTTGAATTCTGATTGCGCAGAACTTGTCTATTATATATATATATATATATATAATGTCATTATAAACTCATATAAATTTGATGTGGATCCCATGTTTAATAACTGAGATATGGGTGTGCGAAGTGCGATATATTCGAAAAAAGATGCCATCACTGGTTTTCAAACTGAAATATACAGTGAAGTGGGTTAAAGTTACAAAATACATCAGTAAGTGTTGTAGTTGTAGGTACTGATAATAATATTGTACCAAATTTCTTTATAATTTGATGATTTCAGAATGGTGTGTTATTTAATTGTGTGTATATTATTTTTGTGTTCATTTATGTAGATATGTGTTAATTTTTTGTTTAGGAAATTGATTAATAAGGCAACATTTCTTATAAAAATTATTCTCATTTAAGTTCCCAATTTCCAACAACTACTTTTTATACTGGGTCTACAAAAAGGTTTGTTGAATTATTGATATAGGATTTTGTTATTAAATTTACAAAGTGTTTGTTATAATTACAAACTATTTATTTAATTAGTTAACAGATTACGTGGACCTGGATATGTGGACCTGGATTAACATAAAATCTGGGGTTGAAGATAAAAAAATCTTGGATCGTTACAAGCCAAGACAATCATTGGTTTACAAATCAAAATATAATGGTACTGAACTCATCCGAAGCCTTTAATACTTAAAGACTTTGGTTTGATAGTGTAGCCTCTGCCACTGCATTGTCCAAAAAAATTAGGTTATATTAAATTAATGGTAGCATGGTCTATAACAAATGATAAATATCAAAAAGTCTATCTTTATGCGTAGCTTTAATTAAAATATAATGGCAGATTGCTATCTGCGGTCTTAATGCAACTACTAATAGTCTATTAGTAATAGAGCCTTAATTTTATGTTAAAATCATTGAGACCAAATTGTACTGTTCTCAGCAATTAATCTTTTGATTGCAACCTAGTTTTTCAAATTATTTATAATCTTGATCTGCATATACTTACAGGGTGTCTATTTAAAAACGAGCAATGCTTTACAAGTCTGTTAGGAAGGTGTTGAATTAAAATGCATATTACACAAGAACTTGGCGATGATAATGCAGACAGAATTTTGTAAAATCATGACCAATGAAATAACAAATCAGATCAAAATACTAAAAAACATTTCATTCAGCGATGAGTGTACTTTTTATCCATGTGGAAAGGATAACAAACCAAATTTTCGTTATTAGAGTAATGAAAATCCTTATCTCATCAGAGAAAATCATACCCAGTATGATAAAAAACTTAATGTCTGGGCAGGAATTTTGGGAGATTGTATTATTTGAATGGTCAAATTTATTTTGAAATGTTAGATGAAACAATACAGCCACTAATAATAAATGAACTAGAAAATAAAAAAGAGGATGATGAAAATTTATTTTATTTTCAACAAGATGGGGCACCACCTAATTATGTAGTAGATGTTAGGGCTTGGCTGGATCAAAATTATCCAGAACCTTGAATTGGTAGGAGAGGACCAATAGAACGGTCTCCCAGATCTCCACATCTGACACCATTAAACTTTTTTTATGGGTTCGCTTAAGATCTGTGGTCTACAAAATTTAGCCTCATTCAATAAAGATCTGCGACAACGAATAGTTTAAGAATGCTGAGCTATTCCACGACAAACATTTCAAAATGTTCAAAGGAAATTTGAGAACCATTTTAAGCATTTAATTTAAAAAGCTAAAAATTAGTGTTTTGATTATTGTTGAACAATTTGTTTATTTATGCTTTTTTAGTTAAATGTACTTTAAAATTATTGTGTGTTCTTCAGAAGATTAAAATTAAATTTTAATATTTTGCAAGCATTGTTAAATCATTAAACATTCCAATTAAATACTTGTTAATATATTAAAAAGTTCGTTAAAATCGCTTGTAACCCGTTAATAAAGAATTAAATTAAAATTAAATTAAATTAATATCCTCAAACATCTATTTATTGAATGCATATTAATTCCAGAGGTCTACATAATTAAAATTAAACCAAATAAAACAAATATTTAATTTAATGAAAAGAAACCTTATAATAATCTGCTTATAATATTATAAGTGGTTAAATAGGTCTAAATGGCTTTTTAGCTTTATTTGCGCTATGGTGCGTTCCAAAAAACCGCTCGCAAAGTGCTTATTATAAATCTATTAGTACATTTAAGGTGTCTGCAGGGTATAATCTAATTCAATTTAACGTTTCATCATGTCCAAAGATACAGAGTCTTCATTAAATATTTGATGGAAGTTTTTATTTTATTTTTAGTTGAGAGATTAACATGGGTAGGTTGAGAAGTTTTACATTACTCAGAACACCTGCAGTTTGTTGTTAAAGCGTAATAATTGCACAATTACTGATAAATGCTTCTGTGAAAAATAATACAAGGTGTCCCAGAACTTGCTCTACAGAGAAAATAAAACGGGCCAAAAATCATGACAAACATAGTTAAAAATTAAAAGAATCTAACGCAAAGGATATGCGAGATAAGAATAAAAAATGGTAGCCAATCTCAATACATGGCCATAGGGAATTCTTTAAATTGCTAGGATACTTAGGATGCATTGTTGATATTATAATATGTAAAATATTTGGTCGACTGGAATCCACTTCAATGTGACATTGCTGTCAATTTTTGCTCCTGGGTCAGAATTTCTCAAACGGGCCACCTGAATTAGGTCAAAATTAGTTTTTGTTTGTAGATACATTTTTTTGATAGTATTTTACATCACTAACACAAATCCTAAAGGATTTTGTAAAAAAAAAATTTTCAATTGACATATTCATGATATTAAAAGTCAAAGTTTTTAATAATTAAAAAATAAAAAAATTCATTATGGCTGAACTAATTATCCGATTCCAACGATATAACTAGCGTTGGAATCTTGTTTTGACATAGATTCTTTGTTATTTTTTTCAATTGTCCTATTTTCATTTAGGTCGATTTTTTTTTGTTTTTTTTATACCAAATTCGGAAATAATTGCCTTCTGCGCCAGCTATCGACTCGAGAAAAAAAACACATATACTCCAATCATTTCTCGAAATTATGCTGCTGAGAAAAAAAATGGCCCGCAGGTTGACAAAAAGTTATTCGTCCTTTTGTGGCCGCGCGCGGTGTCAGCTCACGCTCCGAACCGTGTACGCTGTACGCGCTTGTGACGCGACGTCTTACGGTGGTCTGGAACCTGCGGGCCATTTTTTTTCTCAGCAGCATAATTTCGAAAAATGATTGGAGTATATGTGTTTTTTTTTTCGAGTCGATAGCTGGCGCAGAAGCCAATTATTTCCGAATTTGTTATAAAAAAAACAAAAAAAAATCGACCTAAATGAAAATTGTACAATTGAAAAAAATAACAAAGAATCTATGTCAAAACAAGATTCCAACGCTAGTTAAATCGTTGGAATCGGATAATTAGTTTAGCCATAATGATTTTTTTTTATTTTTTAATTACTAAAAACTTTTACTTTTAATATCATGAATATGTCAATTGAAAATTTTTTTTTTACAAAATCCTTTAGGATTTGTGTTAGTGATGTAAAATACTATCGAAAAAATGTATCTACAATCAAAAACTAATTTTGACCTAATTCAGGTGGCCCGTTTGAGAAATTCTGACCCTCCTGTCATTATTAATCATTTTAAGTTTTCCTCCTCTGATTATGCCGGAATGATGATTATTTATGAGAAGTATGTGCGCAATGATAGAGAGGCAGCACGAGTTTTTTCCCAGCGCTTTGCCGATCGTCTCCTGGACTGTAAAGTTGTTCTGCGTTGTAACGAAATTTAAGGTGCTCCTTAACTTATTAGAACAGCGGGAAACAAAGAAGCTATTTTCTATGCCCATGATGCAAATAATAGTAGGAAGAGCATAATGGAAGTTGCACGCAAATTTTCCGTTCACACTTCAGCGGGTTATAAAGGACGTTCATTTTACGCTAGTGCAGCACCTGCAGCCGGAATATAGTCGCTTTTTTGTTCTCATTCGATTACACTATTACAGAGAATTTTTAAATTTGGCATTTCCATTGCTATCTTTTTTCTAAAAAATGAATGCAATGTTGTTTTAGTTGTGCTAACTGATAACTGAATAATATGGACACATCGTGTTGACAAATTTGTAAAAAAAATCAGGAAAATCAACTTGTCCAAAAATTTATTTTAAGTAAAAACATATATATAAATTTAATCAACTTCAAGCTTTTTGAATGTTCCCTCCACACCAAAAAAGTCACTGGCGTTTTTTGGTTTTCCAGCTCTTTTTTTCTCGTCAACCTTCTGGCTATCTTCAAAGTTGTAAAAATCTTTGTTTTCGAGGTAACTTTTCCTTTCTTTTTCTGAAATTATATTTGTAATTTAGTAACCAAGTCAAACAAAACAGGTCCACAAAGTTTAGCAGGCCAAAATATGTTAGAAAATACTAGTATTTTGGCTGTAATTGTAGACCTAAATTATATGTTAAACCTTAAACCTTTAAGAGACTGTATTGTTTCATTTTCACCCCCGTATTCTTTTGGCATACATTCTATGGGTACTGTTTTGTAGAATTCAACAAGATCACTGTGCAAACAAAACTAAAAATACAATAAGCACAGCTAAGAATAAATATCAAAATTAAATTTTAAACATACCATGCTCAATAGTTCTTTATTCATGAAAGGTTTTATCAAAGCCATAACCTTGTCCATAAATGATACCACGTTAATGTAATGTAGTCCCCTTATTCTTATTGGCATGGCTTCCTAGAAGAATCAAATAAAAAATATTTAAACAACATATAATTCATACCTGCAGATAAAACATAAACTTTTTCATAACAATAATGTTTAATTTTGTTAAATGACCAAAAACCATTCCATCCATGTCGACCACAATGACAACTCCTTCACTTGTTCCCTGAGTGTTAAGATGTCTTATAACATTCATATCGAAATTTCTTATCTGATGGGCAAAGACAAATTTATCTGGATCGCAATCAATGAGTTTCATTAATATTACTATGTATCCCTCAGGGGTCTTTTTTGGGAGCACTGTCATCAGCCTAAACTTATTAATTATTAGGTACTCAAAACAGTTCTTGCCGGTTTAACCGGCTCAGAATATTTACCCTATTTCTTGGGAGTCCAAAACCGATAGATCATTTCTATTTCCAAAAATATCTTCACATAACGTTTTGACTGTGAAATAATTGTCTATTGTAATTTTGGCTTGCTCATTGCTATACATGCAGCTGTGTAGGAACAGGATAACTTGAAGTTCTGAAAAATTATTAGATTATACACCAACACCAACACTTAAGAGTTCAGTACCTGTTACTTTGGGAAGATGCGCCTGCATATCAATCCATTCCATCAATTTTTTTACATCCTCCTTCTTCAGTTTCGGGTCCTTCTTGTATTCTTCCTCGACACAGGCTGGTGTGAAAGTCATTCTGCAAAACAACGATGATCTGATTATTTCTTTCAATTTGCTGCAAAATAACCTTGATTATTTAATGACTGGAAGCTTCACTGATCTCTATTCAAATGCAATCACTCACATAAAAATTGCCCAGAACAATAAACGTTATGACAAAGTCCGATAGGGTAGACAAGCGCACAGTGATCCAATTTGTTATTTTAATATTCCTTATTGAATTCTTTCAATTAAGTAATCAAAAAGGTCAAATGGATAAGTATACACCACTAATAAAAAAATACCCAAAGAACATACCTGTGCACAAGCAAAAGTCTAACAAAGTTTCATACGAAACTACACAATTGACTTAAAATTGCAAAACTTTTATGTAAAAAACCTCAGTTTACACGCATATCAAGTGTGCGAAGCTTTGTTATTAATGCAGCAACAGGTAGTGGTTACTACACTGAAATTATTGTAGTTAAATCCACGACCTTCCATGCTAAATACTATTTGTTAGGTAATGCAAATGACATAGCAGCTATAATAATTTGTTTATTTTTACCTAAATGTTCCTTGCTATTAATTAGGCATCTAAAGAAAATAATTTAGATTACATAGTTCATTGATAGGCCGCCTATTATAGGCGTAATCTTCTATAACAAGGTTTTGTAGCAAAATATTCTCAAAACAACATCATTTCAACTAGATCGATAGATAACTGATGGATGGTCGTTCTAAGGAATGTATCGGCAACATTGTACATCATCTGTATCACGAATGACTGTGTCCCCTGCATCATACAGTCAGTCATGCGTATCCATTCATGTGTTCTATCGGAGCATTTTGCATATTCCCAACATTATTTATAACCAGAATCATTCGTGTAGTTATGTCAGGTTTGAAATATAGGTTTCGCTTATTGGGACAGGTATTTTAAATTTTTTAGCGTAAAAGATCGATAGATATCAGTGACGTAGTTACTACTTGTAAAACTATATAGGTAATATCCATTTTAATTGGGCATTTTATGTTTTTAGTTCTTTCCCTTTTCTACAAACAACTTCTTGAAAGTTAAAAAAATGTTAGAAAAATTCCCCCCCTGATAGCAAAATTTGATTTTAAGAATCTTCTGAGTAGATATGACCCGGAATAATGGAATATTCTTAGAACCCTCCCTTATTGCTAAGAATAGATATTCTTAGGGAAACATTCAAACCCTTTTAATGATGCAATTAGATTAAAAGCTTCTTAAAACCTTCCTAAAAAGCAGTGGCGGCTGGTGGATTTTAAGTATACCAATATCTCAGTTATTAGACATGGGACCCACACCAAATTTATAATAGTTTATATTGACATTAAATAAACAAGTTCGGCGCAAACAGAATTTAAATTGAAGTTTGCGAAAAAAAGTTAGTTTTTCCTGTCGCCTACCCTGCCTCCAGGCCCCCCTATTTGAGATAATTCAAATTAAAGTGGTGCAATTTATTATCTACTATAATTTATCGACAAATTTAAAATTTTATTTAAAAAATCCAAATATTACAGTTTTTATACCATTTTAAATATTTTTTTATTTTAATAAAATAAATAATAAAAATTTAAAATCGAATAAAATCTGTAATATTTGGATTTTTTGAATAAAATTTTAAATTTGTCGATAAATTATAGTAGATAATAAATTGCACCACTTTAATTTGAATTATCTCAAATAGGGGGGCCTGGAGGCAGGGTAGGCGACAGGAAAAACTAACTTTTTTTCGCAAACTTCAATTTAAATTCTGTTTGCGCCGAACTTGTTTATTTAATGTCAATATAAACTATTATAAATTTGGTGTGGGTCCCATGTCTAATAACTGAGATATTGGTATACTTAAAATCCACCAGCCGCCACTGCTAAAAAGCATCCTAAGAACATTTTAAGAATACGTTTTTGGAATGTTCTTAGAAGGTTTCTTATGGAGCTTTTAGGAAGCTTTTGAGAATATTTCCAAATATGTCAGATACCCATGTTCTAATATGTTGTATTCTACATTCGTAAAATTCTCCAGGAGACGACAAATGCGCCTCACTGTCATAATATGACAGTGAAATGTATTTGTCGTCCCCTTAAAAAAATTTGCGATATATTAATATATATTTATTTAAAAATATTAAATAAACAATTTGACCTCTAAACCATAAGTTGTATGACATTATTTCATAAAAAGTAAAATTGGAAAATTTTGTGGGATAAGTCAGATTAGATTGAAGTTGAAGATAGTTAGGATTATTATACATAAAAATGTTAATTCAGAAATAACAAATCGGTATACAAATTAATAAATATTTATTTTTAACATAAAATAAAATACCTATAGTAAAAGTATTTTTGTTATCGAATATTGTTTTAATTTGGCAAATAACTACAAAAAAATATTTTGGATTGTGTTTTTTACTTAGTATTTAGTACTAATTACTAATTAGGTACAAGTATACGTATAGTTTATGGTATATTTTACTATTATATAGGTAACTGAACTAAATATGCTTAACAGGAATATTCCTAAATGAACTTTCTATAGCAATTACTTTCTAAACATTCTAAGCATATGTTTAGAGTAGACTAATTTTTACCACTAAAACTTTGCACCTTCTAATTAGAACCTGCCCATTGATTGATTTGATTATAGCATGATTCTAAGAATATTCTCACTGAAAGGTTTAAAAAACATTCTTAGAATAAAGTGTGCTATCAGGACCAACATCAAAACAAAGTACTTTTTGCTAACGATGTTGGCATCTTCAGAAGCGAAGTGTAACTGAGTTTGACCAAAAATTTACATATTTTATGCCAATCATTTCCCAACACGATAGCACAAAAATTGCATGAAAATAAAGACTTAACCCTACTTAAGTAGAGTTACTTTTGGCCATCTTCGTTTGCAATGAAGTTTGGTCGAAAATTGGCAAAGCGTTTGTAATGCAGATTAATAGAAACTTGGCAAATAATTGATCAGCATGAAAAAAGAATCAGTTTACTATGCGCCAAAGCGAGATATAGGTCGTAAAAAGTAAATTAATAATTTAAGACCTTCGTGTGTTAAGTTTTAAACGGCTTTAAATTTTGAGTAAGTAATTAAGGTTATGTATTCAAGTTTTTTAATAAATAATTCAATTATTATACAATTTCTTACTTTTCAAAGATGGTTATTCCCCCTTATTTTGAAGTAATATAAATTTACATTGGTAGTTCTATATTATGTGCCTATAGGTACTTATTTTTTTTCATTGTTACAGATTTTCATCTCGTTGCATGAAGTTGCAGTGAAGAAAAAGAACTGCCTTTTTCTAGGTAAATAGTGTTTATGCGTACAAGGCTTTTACTATAAGCAGGACAATAAAAAATTAATTTTCTACCTATTATGTCACAGAGGAAAAATTATTATTGGGTTTAAAGAAATATATTTCTTTAAACCCAATAATAATTTTTCCTATATATAGTGCCTGAAGTAAGAAAGGTTATTGTAATTTTTGCTTTGAATTTTAATATTGATTTCTTTTTTTATTTTAGAAGTTCTTCATAACATATAAAGTTACCAAACAAAAACAATTTTATCGTAATTCTGTTTGTCTCATAAATTATGAGTCATAATATTATATATATTATATATTATATATTATATATATTTATATTATAACACTTATAAAGGTATTTTTTTCTAGAGAGTTTACATGAACACAAGAAATTGTCTCCTTCTGGAGATTAGAGTTTTAGGGCTCCTTTGACGTTGCCTTGAAAAACGCCAGAAATCAAAGAAAAGCCTTATTTTACCAAACAAATTAAAAACTTTTTTTTTCAAGCGGCCATGATATACAACCTTATATGCCTGTATAGAGATAGTTGAAGTGCGTCTTTTTCATTAGCGGCAGACAAAAAACTCAAAAAAGCCTAGGGATAGAAGTAAATCCATAGGTGTCTCAATAGACGTCAAATAATAAAATTAATTTAGAATTTCATACAAAGCAATTACGTTGTATTAATCATATTAATTATAATCGCACGGAATATTTAGTGATTATTTATTAAATTTTAATTGAACGAAATAAAGAACAACTAGTTTATTAGTATAATATTATGATGATAGACGAGTTGCCAATGTCGGAACTCCAAACAAATGTCAGTACGTCAAAATTAATTCAAGCGCAGCATTTTGACAGAGCAGGGTTTATTTTTAGTTTAGGATATTTATCGGCATTGTAAGTAAGGTTTATAAGTTTTTTTAGTTTTTATCAATAATTTCTAATACTTTTAGCCAAAATTTTATACCACATGAGTTAAGAGTAAATAAAATAATTCCATTGCTTATCCTATTTATATTACGCCCATGAAAAAAAATTGTATATGTTATTTGGAGTAGAAGCTCTTTTTGTGCTTCGTACAGTTGCCTACATCAGCTACGCTTCGGCCGTCAATCTCTGTACTCACCACAAAAAGAGTCGCTTCTACTCCTTATGACATAATCTACTATTCTTAGGAACATTTTTTTCCCATTTTTTTTTAAATATTTTTTTGTTAGATATAATTAAAAACAAAATGTTTTAACTGTTTTCTGTGCCTGTATTTGTAATATAGATATATATATATATATTTACCCAATTTTCAAATACCTACTCTCAAAAAAATTTATAGATTTTAATGTAAACGAGAAAAAGCTTTTTTAGTAATATTCTTTCAAATTTAATTGCTCTGGATTTATTCAAATATTTACCAATATCATGTCTGTGATCATGTCATTGGTCAATTTTTAAAAAGTTTAGTAATATCTGCCCAAATAACATCAAAAATTTGTCATCGTTTTTCCATGCCCAAACATTAATAAAATTAAACCAACGATAACCTACCTAACTTAATCCAAACTGATTTTGCATATTATTGGGCACAATTCGATCTTTTATTTTTGGCCATCGCGATTGCACAAAGCTTGACGTTTCCCTAAAAAATGATACGCCCCTGGAAGAAGGCAACACCGCAATTTCAATCTGTTCATAATCGAAAGATTTGCACCTGCAACAGGAGAACAAGGACGGAAAAAAGCTCAAAGAAGCAAAAGAGAAATGGAATCTGTAACGGAACCAACATGAAAACGACTGATGTGGTCAAAATGCATTAGCAACGACCAATATTAATATAATCGAAATTCTATCGACTGCTTGCCTTCGATTTAACTTAATAAAGATTGTGTTGTGCTACAATGCACTTGTGGTGTCGGTTTCTAAATGAATTGCGAG